GGAAGAAAAAGTATTTGTTGAAAAATACAAGCCTAGCACTGGGGTGGGGTTTACTGGTTGGCTGGTTGGCAACAAGGTAGGATCCCTGGGTCCTAAGCATTCATGGCCCACACTGAGGACTCAGCCCTGTGGGCTGCTGTGTGACTTTAGGACAAGTCACTTGGCCCCTCTGGGCTTGCAGAGCAGAGGGGAGGCCCCCACAGTCCCCTTCACACTTGGTACAACTTACTGAGATCCGTGTTTCTCCTGCAGTGACACTCTGTGGGAGCAGGGCCTCTGCCCCACCCCAGCACCCTCACCTCTGGTCACAGGGGACACTCGGATCCAGCCCAGACCAGGAAATCCAGTCCAGAGAGCCACTGTCAGCTCAGGCTTCCCCAAAGGAGCAACTCAGAGTCACCCCCACCTTCCTCTGATGGGTTTGGAATAGCCTCCAGGCACACCTTGGCCCCCCTGCACCCCAAACCAGATAAACACCACCACTCCTTGCTTACCATCCCCTTCCTCCTGTGAAACAAGAGGAAACTATGCCCTTAAACCCAGAATGGGAATCCCCTGGGCCAGAGGCCACATTCACTGCTTCAGACCATCCAAGAGGAGAAACTTAAAGTTTCAGAAAACACAGCATTTCAGCCTGTCTCATCCAAAAGGCGGGCTTTTAGTTCCAGGTGGCTGCTGCTGCTGCTGCTACTGCTAAGTCGCTTCAGTCGTGTCCAACTCTGTGCAACCCCATAGATGCAACCCGCAAGGCTACTCCATCCCTGGGATTCTCCAGGCAAGAACACTGGAGTGGGTTGCCATTTCCTTCTTCAATGCATGAATGTGAAAAGTGAAAATGAAGTCATTCAGTCGTGACCAACTCTCAGCGACCCCATGGACTGCAGCCTACCAGGCTCCTCCATCCATGGGATTTTCCAGGCAAGAATACTGGAGTGGGTTGCCATTGCCTTCTCTGACACAGGTAGATACAGCCATATATGTAGGCATGGGTACAGGTAGGAATAATGGAGACACCACTGTAGATGTGTGTGTATATAAAGACAATGCAGGTACCGATGGTTTATACATGTACATAAAGACAGTGCGGGTGTAGACAGTTTATGCAAGTACATAAAAACAATGGAGATGTAGACAGTTTATTAGGTCAGTTCAGTGGCTCAGTTGTCTCCGACTCTTTGCGACCCCACGAACCGCAGCATGCCAGGCCTCCCTGTCCATCACCAACTCCTGGAGTTTACTCAAACTCATGTCCATTGAGTCAGTTATCTCATCCAACCATCTCATCCTCTGTCATCCCCTTCTCCTCCTGCCCTCAGTCTTTCCCAGCATCAGGGTCTTTTTAAATGAGTCAGCTCTTCACATCAGGTGGCCGAAGTATTGGGGTTTCAGCTTCAACATCAGTTCTTCCAATGAACACCCAGGACTGATCTCCTTTAGGATGGACTGCTTGGATCTCCTTGCAGTCCAAGGGACTCTCAAGAGTCTTCTCCAACACCACAGTTCAAAAGCATCAATTCTTTGGTGCTCAGCTTTCTTTATACTTGTACATAAAAACAGTGGAGATGTAGACAGCTTATACATGTACACGAAAACCATGGAGGTATAGATACTTTATACATGTACATAAGGATGATGGAGATTTAGATACTTTATGTGTAGATGAGGTACAGGCTTAGGTGATAAAGATGTAAGTGTAACCATAGATAATGTAGATATAGGTGTATGTAGATACAGATGTAAGTGATATAGATGTGGATACAGATGATGTAGATGTGGATGGAGGTAGAGATGCAGATGTAGACATAGAGGTAAGTGCAGGTGTAAATGTAGGTGATGCAGGCATCAGCATAAATAACAGAGGTGTTGAAGAAGATGGTGCAGGTGCAGAAAATGCAGATGTGGGGTAGACGTACATATAGATGATCTAGACAGACATAGATGGCCGAGTAGGTGTCAGATGTAGATACAGATGATGTAGGTGTAGGTGATGTAGAGGCAGGTGTAGGTGTAGATGATACAGATGTAGTTTAGGTGATGTGGGTGTAGCTCCAGATGATGTAGACAATGTAGGTGTAATGTAGATGTACACATACAGACGCTGTAGACACAGATGTGGATATAAGTATAGATGTAGGTGCAGACATGGTCACATAGATGAACATGGAGGAAACGGAGAGTAGCTGATGCAGGTGTAGATGTGAATGAGGCTGAGACAGAGACAGAGACACTTGCCAACAGAGTTCACGTCCCAGTGCATCATGCAGAGGAGACCAGACAGCCTGCTGGCAGCCACAGAACTGACTGGCCAGGTGCTCAGGGTCACCATGGCAGCAGCAGTAATAATATCAACTGCTCTGAGCTCTGGTCCAATTCCAGGTACTGTGCAGGCATCTCGCCTGCAGCATCTCAATAACCATCCCTGGTCATCCTTTCAGCTAAGACATTCCTGTCCCCAGAGACCTCTGGAGCTGAAAGGCACCTTGACATCCAAACACTCCCATGGTCATCTTCATCACCTCTCCCCTCCTCCCACCATCACTCACACCGGAGCCCATATCTCTGTTGAAAACCCATTCATCCTCTCCCTCCCCCACTGCCATTCCAGACCCATGAGGTCCTGGATATGGGAGTCTGCTTCTGGTGGCTCAGACAGTAAACAATCTGCCTGCAATGGGTCAGGAAGATCACCTGGAGAACAGAATGGCTACCCACTCCAATATCCTTGCCTGGAGAATCCCATGGACAGAGGAATCTGGCGGGGTATAGTCCAGGGGGTTACAAAGAGTCGGACAAGACTGAGCAACTAACACTTTCACTTTCCTGCCACATTCCCTACAGCCTGGAACTGGCACATGGAAAACGTGAAACAAGTAAGTGGTTCTGTGCCCACGGGCTCTGCCCACCCCGACCCCACCTGTTGCCTGCATTCTTGATGATGCGATGATTCTGGTCCAACTCGTTCCTCAGGGTCTGCTGGGTGACCACCAGCTGCCGGCAGTCATAGGATGACCTTTCCAGGCTCCTCTCTGCCTCTTCAGTCTCCTTCTGCAGGGTGTCGATCTGCTCGTTGTAGAGCTGAATCTCGCCATAATCACAATCTTGGGCATCTCTGATGGCTTGTTCCAGGGCCGCGATCTGTGGGCAGAGACACGGTCATGAGGAAACCCAGCCACCCTCTCCCTTCAGATATAGATCAGCAGTGGAGAATCCAGACAGCATGCCCAGTTGTATTTGTCTTGCTGGTGTGTTTCTCTGTCAGCAGAGAATCTTTAAGCCACAGAAGGATGTGACAACTGAACCCCTTCCCCTGATTCTTGTATCAGCATCCCCAGAAATCAGCCTTTAGCGGAGCCCCTGACCCAAGGCAGTAGAAAGATGAGAAACTCAGAAAATAAAAACTGCCATCCCTGGACTAACATGTACAACTCAGAGTACATTCTTCATACTTTACTGAGTTAGCATGAAAAAGTAGTAAAAAGAAGAACATGGACTAAATAGATAAGATGCTATAATAACGAAAGGGGGGGGGTTTCCTTCATCTTATTCAATCACTATGGCACTTTAATTTTCTCCTGATTTCTGATGAGTAGAGTTACACATATGTTTTGATAGCTAAAATGTGTGTGTTTGTGTGCACTGGCACTTAAGTAAAATAACTTCAGAGAAACACTATTTATATATTAAAGCAGGACAAGTCACGGTTAAGGTAGGAAAATGAAAAGAGATTCCTCATCTTCACTTTAAGAGCTGTGACAACCCACAAGCAGCCACAAGCTGCTTACTTATTTACAAGCGAACTCATTTACAAGCTCAGTACACGCTCACTTTCCCACGGATTAAAGGTCTAACAGGCGTGGCCAGTCCTCCAAAACAAAATGAAACGTGTAAACTGAAACCCACTTCATCTGGAAGAGAGCTTGTCAAACTTGAACACGCATGTGAACCATCCGAGGATACGGTTTTGCTCAGATTCTGACTCAGCAGCTCCAGTGGGACTGGAGGGGCCGGGTTTCTAAGTGGCTCCTCGGGAGAGGAAAACCCAGGAAATGAACCCATTTTTCAGCTCTCCTGGAGAAAACAGAACCAGGTAGGAAAAGTGCAGAGGCGCAGACAGGAAAATGAGCCAGTGGGGCGCTGGGGCAGAGGGAGGGGGGTGGGGGGGTGGGGCGGGGGGAGCGGGGGGTCCAGGGTCAGAGAGCCCTCCCAGACCCCAAGGTGCTAACCGCAGGCTTCCCTGCACTTCACCCTGTAAGCCTGGCTTCAAGTAAGAGGGCCTCCGTGAGACGCTGCTCATCTGGCCCCTTGGTCCCCCTCGACCTACCGCCTTCCTCCCCTCCTCCTGTTTCTCCCACACTCCACTCTTTACTTGTCTTCCTTGACCAGCCTAGTCCGTTCCTGCCCCAGAAAAGGCAAGGAAGTATTAAACCCACTGGGCTCGTATTTCTCGGTTCTTCCACCTGCCCTGGAGTCTAAAGATGCCCAGGGATGAAAGGTGCTTGGAGTCAGGGTGATGTGCATGGTTGAGACTGCGAAACCACCTACCAAGGCTGTGGGTTGGGCTTTGCTAGCTGGCACCGCCCCGGAATGGGCGGGGCCGGGGCCTTCTGGGGGCGAGACTTGGGGTAGCGGGGCCCCGTTTCCCGGGTGGTAGCCGCATGGAAGATGTGGGGCTCGGGCCTCCAGGCTTCCCGGGGCGTGACCTGAAACCGAGGCCTCAAAGAGTCGATCAGTAGTAGGGCAGAAGAGAGCGCCAGAGGCCAGCGTCTCTGGACCCAGCAACTCTAGTCGTGGGGACGGGTGGCTGAATGGAATGAGGCTTGGGAGAGGCTGGTCCGAGTGACAGGCTGGGGGCATGGCCTGTGAGACCCGAAAGCATGCAAGGCATGAGTAGGGGTACACGGCCTTGGGCGACTAGCAGTATACCCAGCACTCCGAGCTGTGGTCTCAGAGGTCCAAGTGTGTGGCTGCGCGTCTGGGTGGGGCAGCGGCGCGGGCGGGCCATGCCTGGGGACTCCCAGTCGCTGTGGGAACTGGTGGAAGAGCACATTCCGCTCCCAGAGTGGCCCGAAGTGAAGAGGATTCTAGGGGAGACGACAGCGGATCTGAGCCTGGAGTTACGGGCAGAGGTGGGGCGTAGGAAGGTGAGCCCCACGGCAGACCTGTCCCAGGACTCAGATGATTTTCTCACCTTCTACGGGTCCCTAGCCCTGCCCAGTAACTCTCGAGCTCTTGTCAGATCTAATTGTCCTCCCAGCCCTCTCCAATTTAACTGCCCTGCCCCTCATTCCCCCAGCTCTCCTGCCTCCCTTCACTTCCCTCCGCAGTCGCCAAGGTGTCCCAGCTGTCCTTGCAGGTAGTAATGTTACGATCATTGCTCCAAGAGGCTCGATCTATCCAAGCCTCTGGATCACACCCCACCTCTGACCTCTCCTCCCTTCTGGCACCACCGCCCCTCTTAAGAGATCTTGTGCGCCAGGAACTGTGGCAGCTACTCCAAGGTCTCCGCCGGAAGGCCATCTGTGAGGGCAGGTTGGAGCTCCAGACCTGGGTCTGGGCCCTGTCTCCAGAACTCGGATGGGCTAGCCTGGCAACTGACAAGGGTCCAGGATCACCTTTCCTGTAGTTCCCTAGAAGGAGACCCTGAATTGCCTTTATGCATCTTCTGTAGGGACCAGACCCACATTTGGGTCCACTATAGCCCCAGGGTCCTGCACTTTGCCTTGGAGGAGCCCAGGCCTGATTTGCCAGAACAGGAGATGTTCCAGAGGAGAGCTGGTGAACCCAGGTGTAGTAGCAGGAGAGGAGGGATCTGTCCTTGCTGGGCAAAGGACCCCAGCCAGCTGGTAGGTCCCACCTGCGGGCATGGAGGAATTCCTGGTCTGGGACTGACGCTTCTACAGCCACCTGTGGTAGAGGTCAGCCCGTGAGGGCTGCAGAGGCCCAGGAAGCACGTGCCAGTCCCGGGAGCTTGGTTCGAGCTGGGTTGTAGAGTAGGAGCAACAGACTTCCAGACAGAAACAAAGAGCAGCGCTTTGCAGGGAGACGGAGAAGGACATGCAGATAGGAGTGGAAGGAGAGACTTCACCCAGTGGCCCGTTGTCCCGCAGGCTGGGATAGCCAGGCTGCGAGGACTGGGTTAGAGAGGGCTAGGGACTGAACGAGATAAATGAGCAGCAGCATGTTCATCCGTGAATGGTAGCAACTTATTTCTCACACATCCTTATGAAGGGGGTGATGGCCCCATTTTGCAGATGATACTAAAGCTCAGAAGGGATGATTGACTTTCCCAAACTCACACATAGTAAAGGGTTGCAGAACCCATGTGCAATCCCAGGCTCCAGATCTCCTCCTTTTACTACCATCTTGTGTTGCCTTTGTGAGAAAGCACACAATTGTCTAGGAGAAATGGTGTTTGTGTCCTGAAGGCCTGGGGTGAAGCAGCATGAGAGAGTGAGGTTGACTTCATCTGCCAGCAGCTGTCACCAGGACCTCAGCATCATCAAGGACCAGCTGAATGTGTCCCACATTGACCAGCCTTTTGACCACGTGCAGTGAGACCCCCAAGTGTGTGCAGTGGGGGTGGGGACAGGGAGGGTGGAACTGCGGATGGACCCTGATGTACTGGGACTACTGGGAGGAGAAGGGAGGGAACACACCTGGCTGGGAGACCCAGGAGAGTGGGGCTGAGAGGTGGAAAGGGCAGGATGCTGATGAGGTTGCTGCCAGGAATCAGTCAAGTACAGATGCCTACACGGGCCTTGGCTGAGGACTTTTATCCTGGGAGGTGGGGAAGAGATGACACACAGAAGAATTTTTAAAGCAGGGGCAGGGCTGTCATGTGGGAGAGAATGGAGGCAGGAGGACCCGCAAGTCTAGTCCTATCATGTAGAAGAGAGACTGCTGCTTCTGAGGGTGGGCACTGGGAGGTGGGCTAGGACAGAGGACACACCCTGTCCAGGAAGAGGCTGGCAGGGCTGCAAGGCTGTGCTGGAACAGCATGAAGGCAGCAGAGGGAGAGGTGGACAGAGATAGGAGGGCCTAGAGGAGGCTCCTGGGGAGGCCGGAGGTTGGGACCGCTTGGAGGGCTCTGCTGAGACCTGGGCCTGTAGCACTGCTTCCGGTGCTGCACTGTCCATGTCCCAGGGCCCTCCTGGAGGAAGAGTGCCATGCTCTGGAGAGGGAGATTCCCATCCTGCAGGTGAGCTGCAGTCCTTGGCCGCCCTGCCGCTAGCCCTTCTGCTGAGCGTAGACAACCCCGTCTCTCAGCCAGGGCGTGAGATCCACACACCTGCAGAGGTTGTGTGAACCCTGGGTCCATTTTTCCTGTGTGCACACTTCTTATGTGTGTGATCCTTAGGTACATGAATTCATATTCCAGTTGAGTCCCTAAGTCCGAGGTCAGCACTGCTGGGTCTGCCTAGGTCTTTTGCCTCCTTCTCTTCCCTAAGTCTGGGTTCAGGCCTGCCACCCCCTTGCCAAGCTCAGCTTTTCAGGGAGAGGCTGGTGTTCCTCTCAGGAGTGCCCCCCAGTGATTGGGAGGTAGAGACTGCACGGGCTGGTTCCTGCGCCCCACCATGGGGATCCTGGCCTGGGCACCCTGCCGTAAAGCCAGGCACTGAGCCAGCTCTCCCTGCAGCGCTGCCTGGAAGACGAGTATTCAGGCCTTCTGCCCCCGGCCCTGAGGCAAGCCTAGAGCCCACTCTGGCAGGTGAGGACCCTAGCAGGTCCCAGAGCACCCAGCGCTCCACCCTTCCCACTTCCACCCCACCCACACCCATCCCACCTTGCTCTTGTAACACACCCTGGAAGACTGGGCGCTGTGTCTCAGGCAGAACCTCTCCTCCAGAGCTAAAGGAAGAGAAGGCAGCCAGGCAACAGGAGCTGCAGGCACCCCTGAGTCCTTCCTGTGTCTCCCCCAGCCACAGGTAACCCAGAGCAGACAGACAGCTGGATGGGGCAGGCTGAGGGGCAGGCCGCAGCCCCCTCACAGCTACTCCCTCCCATTCAGGCCACAGCCCTTGGGGTCCTCCAGCCAGGGCACCGGACTCCTGCCTTGCCTCCACGGGGCTGCTGGAGTTTGGGCCAGGCTTCTCCAGTGCTGCCTGCCCGCTCCCTTCTGGAGCGCTACCCCAAACCTCGCGGCCTGGCCGCCACCTGCCACTGGGGACAGAAGATTCAGTGCCTCCCCGGGAAAAGGCCAGCTTCTACTCTGACGTCCAGTGCAGCGCCCCAGGCCCCAACCTGAAGGGCTGCCCAGGAAGGAGGCTTCAGCTTCGGCTGGAACTCGTCCTGTCTGCTACTGCTCTCTTTCAGCTGCCAGGGTCCGGCCCACTTCAGATCCAGTCTAGGATGAGCCCTCCCCAGGAGTCCACTGCTGTCTGTCTGGCCCTCACCCTACCTTCTCAGCAGGTCCTCAGTGTCCGGTCCTGACTGTCACAGCCTCTGGCCTTTCTCCTCCCAGGCATCCCCCCAAAGGCCTGGCAGGAGGAGGTCTTGTCCCAGCCCTGACTCATGTCCCGCTGGAGGACCCAGACAAAACACAGCAGCAGCTCAGAGACAGGAATAGAAATTTCATTAAAATCTGTGGACTTTAAAAACCTAGTGGTGCGCAGATGGTTGGGGGTGGGAGGCGCACCGTTACTGCTACAGAGGATTAGAGGCAGCTCTTCCCGGGCTGTCACTGCACAGAGGGGCGCAGAGGACAGACACACAGGCGCTGCAGGGCTGGGGGAAAGGAGTTTTGGCTCCAGAGAGTGGTTGGGGCACACGGGCTGGGGCAATTTGGCACCTGAACAAGGGTAGCCCAGTTTGGGAAGACTGGGCTTTAGCCTGGCAGTGGTAGGGCAAGGGGGTGTCGTGTAGGGTCCACTTCCCCTGGTCTCTGGGCTCAAACCTCCTGCTGAGCATCACCCCATCTCTACCCCCAGAAACGAGTTCTTTGGGCGGGCTGTTGGGTCATGGGCCTCTGCTGGGCTGGCCCTGACAGCCAGTGCTGGAAGGAGGCACAGGGACCTCAGAGCTGCCGAGGGATGTGCAGGCGGGCCTGGAAGACAGATTGGGCCTGAAGCCGAGGGTGAGGGGGTAGCAACCACAGATAATACAATTTTTACAAAAATAATCAGACAAAAGGGCTGGGCCACACAGCCTGACCCGTAACACTGCACAGCCCCCCAGCCCCTCACCCTGCCTCCAGGTAGGAAGATCTGAATTAGCCTGGGCGGAGGCTGGGGTCCACCCCAAGGGCAGGAACTCTGGTCAGGAGGCCAAAGGCTCAGGGACAGGTAGGGGCCCACCCAGAACCTCAGCTCAGGGCAGAGTGTGGGGGTGTCAGAGGCCACTTGGAGCCCAGCAGGTGTCTGGGGGCCTGACCTGGGGCCCCCCAGCAACCCCCACATCGCCCACACCCCCTAGCTGCCATCTTGACATCTAAAGGACCTGTAAACACTAGGGACATGAACATGAATGACTGTGCTAGCAGTGGTGGCCAAGGTGACAGGTGCCACCCCTGGCCAGGGCATGGTGGGGGCAGGCAGTGACACCTATCCACTGTCTCCCCAGTCTCTGTGTTGGCAGCATAGGGTGGGGGTGGGGCACTCTCCCGGCAGCTGTGCTGGCACCTGGGAGTCCTGCAGATGGCTGGAGTCGTTACTGCCCAGAAATCTGGGCATTGTCCAGGGACAGCAGCTGGGACTCAAGCCCATCTTCAGGGGAGTGTGGAATAGTGGGGGCGTAGCTCCCTGCTCAGTGCTCCAGGAGGTTGGGACCCCAGTCTCCACTCAGCTTTGTTGAGTTTTTCAAACGCTGCAGGAGAGGTAGGCATGAGAAGGGATGGGCGGGCAGGGTGCATCAGAAGGGAGCCCTGGAGTGCCTTCCATCCATCCACCTGCTTCTGATTCACCTGGCTGCCCCTGCCCCTACCCCTCACCTGGAGGAGGTTGTCCCCATTGGTCCTCCAGCAGTGGAACAGGGCGTAGAGTGGAATGCCCACCACAGAGGACAGAGCCATGAGGAAGCCAATGGCCTCGGCCCACCTTGGATATTTCTGTTGTTGGCTGGCACTCGATCACCAGGAAGATGAGAATAAACTGCAAAGAGTGGGGGTTGGGAGTGGGCATGAGTCCTGCCCAGCCCCACCCAGGCCTTAGGCCTCCTATCAGGACTGCTCCCCTCCCTCTCCAGTTTCCCAGACTAGAAAGAGGCATTTCAGGGAGGGTAGGGATGACATCAACGTTTGCATAGTGGAATAAGCTGATGGCACCAGGGGTCCAGGGTATGATGGGCAAGTGGACACTGTGGAAGGGGAGGGGTCTGGCTTCTGAATAATCCTGGAGCAGGCAAGAAACTGTTCAGCTGCCATGGCCCTTGGAAGTCAGTTCTACTCAAAGACTTGCAGTGGCCCCCCCACTGCCTGCTGAAGTAAGGCCGAATCTGTGGCCTTTAAGGCTTCAATGGCATTTTCCATCTACTAAGCATTTTGCATTTTTTGAACTGTGGTGTTGGAGAAGACTCTTGAGAGTCCCTTGGACTGCAAGGAGATCCAACCAGTCCATCCTAAAGGAGATCAGTCCTGGGTGTTCATTGGAAGGACTGATGCTGAAGCTGAAACTCCAATACTTTGGCCACCTGATGTGAAGAACTGACTCACTGGAAAAGACCCTGATGCTGGGAAAGATTGAGGGCAGGAGGAGAAGGGGACAACAGAGGATGAGATGGCATCACTGACTCAATGGGCATGAGTTTGGGTAAACTCCAGGAGTTAGTGATGGACAGGGAGGCCTGGCGTGCTGTGGTTTATGGGGTCACAAAGAGTTGGACACAACTGAGTGACTGAACTGAACTGAAGTATTTTTTTAATGTTTTCTCCAGACCTGGGAGCTCCTGGGATTGCATCAGCTCTAGGTCTCCAGTGCCCAGCACAGCGCCTGGCACACTCTCGTGTGCTAATCTGAACTGACTTATGCAGGGAGGTGGGAGCAGTTGGGGAAAGGAAAGGGAGAAGTCCTGCCAGTCCATGGCTGCAGAGATGGCAATGGACAGCGGGGGGAGGCTCCGAAGCCTAGAAACCGTGTCAGGCTGGGGGTGCTCTCAGAAACCACTTTGGAAAGAGCTGAGGGACACCAGAGATAAATCCCAGGGCTGCAGCAACAAAAATACTATAGGAACCAGAAAGATGGGCATGGGCCACTTGGAGGGCCTGGGACAATAGGTGCTGCTTGCCAGGAGGCCTCAGCATACATATCCCAAGCCTTCAGCCATGTCCTGGAGCTAAGACCCCTCCAGCCATTTTAGTGACTAAATTCTAGAAGTCAAGATCCGCATCTGGGGGACGCTGCACTTAGAGGAGCTTATAAAAAGTTTCCTGAATGGAACTAGAGCCTGATCTAACATGTGGACAAATTCTTTATTTTCTTTATTTGAGCTGATAGAATGATGGAGTTTGTAAAAAAAAAAAAAAATCTTTTCAGCACTATGAAGTAAAGCCTCCAAAAGAAAACTAACAGCCCAGAAGCATGCGGTCCACAGAGCCTGGCATCCTCACTGAAGTGATTCCAGCCTGGCTTTCTGAGCAGAGAGAGGATGCTGCCGGCTTTGCCTGTTTCCTGGAGACACCAGACCCAGGCTGCCTGCTGCCTCCTGCCCTGTCTGGGCGGCGCCCTGGGTCTCCCCACAGGACAGCAGCTTCCTGGGAGCCCTGGAGGATGAGCTCCCCCAGGGCAGGTCCTGGGCCAAAGTCACAACCCCCGAGGGCACTGCGCTTGGCGGTGGCAACTGCCCTCCCCCGCCTCCAGCTGCTTACAGGACACTTCCACTCCTCCTGGTTCAAAGCTGGGCCAGTGGACAGAGCTGGTGCCTGTGCCCGGCTCTGGAAGATCCCACACCCCATGTGATGGAGGTCTCAGCCCTCAGGGGCTTTTTTTTTTTTCTCCCCAGAAACATGAGCCAATGTGGAAATCCAGTGCTGTCCTCTCTGTGGCATAGAGGAACTGGCACAATGTGGGGCACAATTCCAGACACTATCCTGACCATTGGGCTGAGCGCCCCCCCCCGTCACTCAGAGACAGCCCTGACTCTTCTCTGTGGAGGGACCATTACGCTAGCAAATCCCTCCTCCCCACCCCTCACCCCCGCCCCCGACTTCTCACCCTGGTCATAAAGGAGCACAATCAGAAGGTTTGTAGTCCCCAGACCACTCCTCCTCCTAAACTTGTGTCTAGTGCACCATGGGCCCGGCACACACGCTCCAGATCAGAGCACCTGCTTCGCATGAGGGCTCTGACTCTTAGAAGCCGTATAACCTTGGGTCAGTTACTTAACATCTTAGGGCCTCAGTTTCCTCATCTGTAAAGTGGGGATAATAATGGAACCATGGAGAGTTGTATCACGAGACTTAGTATATTGTTCCTGGCCATGGTGGGCTTTCCCTTCACCACTTCTACTCCCTGCTGGGGGGTCTGTCTTCCAGGTGGTGAATACTGGTGGAAACCCAGAACCCCCATCCCAAGCCAGCCTATTCCAGGGTGGCTTAGGATGGTGTCCCGGATCCTGAGCTGATACCTGGCTTGCACAGCCTGCTTCTGGAACACGCATTCACACCACATATCCTGAGCACTCCAAGCACCTCGGCTATGAGGGCTAGAGACACGAGCTCAGTGAGGCTGTCAGAGACCAATGCCAAGGTCAGTCATGATTCCCATGGGGCTCCTCTGGGGGGATGCCAGGTGGAAATACCAGGGAAGGAGGGCCAGCTCTCAGCTGCTACCAGCCTATTTTCCCCTTCTGAAGCTGGGCACTGTCTTCTGTCAAGTACAGGGTCCTGTGCTCCCTTCCTAACCCAAGGCCAGGGCTTGGATGATTCTGAGTCTCCACACCTGTCTGACTCCATGCAGCTTTGCTTAGACTTCCAGTGATCAGAGCTGTAGGTGTGGAGTCCCCAGGAGGAGCTCTGGCCTAATGGTTGGGCTCGTGCTCTTCCTTGGCTGGTTCCCAAGAGAAGGATTCTTGCCACGGGGACAGCAGGGGAGGGACCCGCGAGGAAATTACAAAGATGATAGTTGGTGAGATGAAGCGCCAGCATATCTGGAAGAAGTGGGGCGGTGGGAACCCCAGCATCATCTGGATGTCCTTGGGCGGAGCAGGCCTCCCTGGGTGGGGCTAAAGCAGCTGGATCCCACTAATGAGGCCTCATTACGCCCAGGACTCAGCAGGGCTGCTGCTGCCTGCTGTCTCCATGGCCAGAGTCAGAGAAAGCTGTCTAACCAGAGCTGCCTATTCTGGGCACCTGGCCCAGGCCAGGGCAGCCAAAGCCCAGAGCCTACCCTGGGTGGAAGTGAACATTTGGGCATCATGGGTGACTGGGCCTTCCTGGAGCCAGTGGCCCAGCCAGGGGCTTGGCCTTCAGTTTGGACTCGCAGGAAGTCAGCAGAAGTCAGCAGAGTGTGTCTGGGGACTCGGCTGCATGAGGCTGGCCTGGAAGCAGCTCAGTTGCTAGGGTCTGAGGCCATTCTCTTGGGAGACTTGCTTGAGCCAAGATCACGCCCCATCTTCTCTCCAAAAATGGGCATAGTAGCATACCCGACTCGAGGGGCTGTTGGGA